ATAATAATAATAATAATAATAATAATAATAATAATAATAATAATTTTGTGTGATTGATGTGAACTTAGGCTCAGACTTTTAGGTACATAGTAACAACAACAACGTGTGATTGATGTGAACTTGGCTCAGACTTTTAGGTACATAGTGGCAATAATAATAATAATTATTATTATTATTATTATTTTGCGTGCTGTGAACTTGGCTCAAACTTTTAGGTACATAGTGACAACAACAACAACAACAACAACAATAATAATAATTTCGCGTGATTGATGTGAACTTGGCTCAAACTTTTAGGTACATAGTAACAACAACAACAATAATAATGTGTGATTGGTGTGAATTTGGCTTGGAGGTTTCAGTACATAGTGGCAACAACAACATTAATGTGCGATTGCTGTGAACTTGGCTCAAACTTTTAGGTACATAGTGACAATAATAATAATAATAATTATTATTATTATTCTTTTGCGTGATTGATTTGAACTTGGCTCAAACTTTTAGGTACATAGTGACAACAACAACAACAACAACAACAACAACAATAATAATAATAATAATTTTGCGTGATTGATGTGAACTTGGCTCAAACTTTTAGGTACATAGTAAAAACAACAACAACAATAATGTGTGATTGATGTGAATTTGGCTTGGATGTTTAGGTACATAGTGACAACAACAACAACATTAATGTGTGATTGATGTGAACTTTTAAGTGGACGTAGTGACAGTAATGATGATAATGATGGTGGTGGTGATGATGATGAGAATAACCCCATTCTCCCCTCTTGGCTCCCCAGACGGTGTACTTCCACACCCCTTTGGCTCACCCCAGCATCGTGCTGGTGGTGGAGGTGGTGGCCATGGCCAGGCAGAGGGACGGCAACCCCCAGGACCTCTCCTGCGGATTCGGCCTCCTCCCTTTGTTCAGCAGCACGTCGGAGCCGAGCGAGCTGGATTCCAAGGAGAAAGGGTACAAGGGCAACCTATGGGGAGGAATGGGCTGGAGGGCACCGGTGGGCACATGAACCCCGATATTACACTATGCAACATATTTTTTCGTTCTTGGGTTATCAATGTCATTTCCTAATTGGGTATATCATAAAAACATGGGAAAAGTTTATTAAACTGCAAAAACTTTGCGGGAGGGACATCCTGCAACACATATATTCTATTATATTATATTATTACAATAATTATATTACAACTGTATTGTATTATTATAATAATGTTATATATATATTAGGCTTGGGCGGTTTCGTTCATTAATTTCGTAATTCGTTATTAATTCGTATTTAAATTGAGCCATTTTGGAATAGTGTGAGGAGTAATTAAGAATCGAAACAATTTTTCCAATTTTCGTAATTATTT